CCCCTGCCATGGGCAGGGACACCTTCCACCAGCCCAGGTTGCTCCAAGCCCCATCCAACCTGGCCTTGGACACTTCCAGGGATCCAGGGGCAGCCACAGCTTCTCTGGGCAACCTGGGCCAGGGCCTCCCCACCCTCACAGGGAACAACCACTCTGGAGTTACTACTGTGAAACCTCACCAATTTATATGAAAAGCAGGTAGGATATCCACACCTACGAAGTATTTACCCATTTTTAAAACAAATCCTACTATTTCAGTGGACTCCTTGATATAAAAATAATTCTAATTTAAATCTTCGATGCAGATAAAGAGATAAAGCTGCTGTTTGAAAACGAACAAAAATGACAAAAAGCTCATTTCAGTTCCCAGTTTTGACAAATACGATCTGAACACACAGGGAACAGAATAAAGGGAGTCAGAATAAAGGGGGTGCAGAAGCAGTGCTGTTAATCCATGGGAGCTTGGGAATGTCCTTTTCCTTACCTGCCACCCCTGTAGGGAAGGCCACCAGCCTCTCCAGGGGAGCCAACCATTTGCTTGGAAGCACAGTAACTGGCTCAGAGTAGTACTTCCAAATCAGGGAGATCATCAAGGCAGCCTGGAAGGGAAAGTTTTATTAGCTTGGGGAATAACACACATCAAAGTACATTCCTGATGCCACTTAGAAACAGTAAATAATAAATTCTAATTAATGGGAATCATTTCTTTGTTATTTTATCTCATTCTTTAGCAAGTTCAAGATATTTTTAAACTCTGCACGAGCTTAAATTCATACACAGCACTCAGAGGTAGCTGTAGAACATGGAAAATGCTGATTTTTTTTTTCAAGACCCTGGTTCCAGTCCAGCAGAGACAAACACAATCAGAGCACTTGGTAAACTGATGACTCTTTTTAGCCTTAATTTTTGCCTGCTAGAAATCCAGGGAATCTTCAGGGTGAGCACTGTCATCCTTATTAGCAGCCAATTCTTTGGCATCAAGTCACAACTACAGAGACAACCTGATGAGGCACCGTGGGGAAACGTGTGGCAGCTGCAAGTGGAGATTTGCATCCTCAGCAAGGACATATTTTGTTTTCAGAAACACAAATAAAACACATTTGCATGGAGCAGAACTTTCCTGGATCCGGTGCAACATGTAAAATTAACGAAAAAACCCCCAGTGATTGAAGAGCCAAGACAAACTCCTATCCTGTCACCCCAAAACCAGAAACACAAAACTCCTTCCATCCTCAACTCCCAGACTTTATCAGCAGCATCTCCCATTTCCATTTTAAGAAACTCTTTCCACTTGGCATGCACTGTGTCATTGGAATCATAATAATGGAATGGTTTGGGTTGGAAGGAACCTTAAAGCTCATCCAGCCCCACCCCCTGCCATGGGCAGGGACACCTTCCACCAGCCCAGGTTGCTCCAACCTGGCCTTGGACACTTCCAGGGATCCAGGGGCAGCCACAGCTTCTCTGGGCAACCTGGGCCAGGGCCTCCCCACCCTCACAGGGAACAATTTCCTCCCAATATCCCATCTAACCCTGCCCTCTGTGAGTTGGAAGCCATTCCCCTTTGTCCTGTCGCTCCATCCCTTGCAAATAGTCTCTCTCCATCTTTCCTGGAGCTCCTTCAGGCCCTGCAAGGCCACAATCAGGTCACCCCAAAGCTTCTCCTCTCCAGGCTGAACAATCCCAGCTCTCCCAGCCTTTCTTCCCAGTAGAGCTGCTCCAGCCCTGGGATCCTCTTGATGCCTCCTCTGGACTCTCTCCAGCAGCTCCATGTCCTTGCTGGGCTGGGCACCCGTGTGGCCACTCACCAGCCAACAAATGCAGGAGAGAATTGTAACACTGTTGAAGTTTAGGTTTAATTTGTATTCATAACAAAATATTTACTTACCTGTAAGATGTAGAATACAATATTTATAACCCACTTTATTTTGGCCAATTGGGCAGTTCGTGCTTTCACTGTTAAGAAAAAAATAATTACTCTGTGATTATTTAGAATATTGATTTATCCTTACATAAAATCAGTAATTTACTAATATCTCATTCAAGTCAGGACATTACACTGCTGAAAAATCTTTTTTCAAAATGATTCACTGCTATATTAAAAATACCCTTCTGCAAGAAACTTCTAAGTTTATCTCACACCTTAGTTTCTTCCTTGACTTACTCAGGACATGGTTCAGTGGATAAAATCACCGAGAAGGATGGGAGGAAAGAAAGAAAGAAAAAAAAAGAAAAGAAGGAAAAGAAGAAGGAAAGAAAGAAAGAAAGAAGAAGAAAGAAAGAAAGAGAGAAAAAGAAAGAAAGAAAGAAAGAAAGAAAAGAAAGAAAGAAAGAAAGAAGAAAGAAAAAGAATAAGAAAGAAAAAAAAAGATGAAAGAAAAAAGATAAGACGAAGAGGAAAAATCTGAAGGAGAAATATACTTAAAATTTAAAATACTCTTGACAAAATGCTTTTCAGAAACTAGACAAAGGAGCAGACATTGCACCCTACCGTGAGTTTTGAGCTTGTCAGTCATTTTGTTGATCTTCCTTTCCAGCCGGGCGTACCTGGCAAACTCATCCATCATACTGATGGTTGCGAGTTCTTGTTTCATGGTCTGAATTTCAGCTCGCATCTGGGACTCCTGCTCTGCGTCCTTTTGCAACAACCTGGATATCTAAGAAGTAAAGAAATAGCACCAGTTGTTGATCCAGAATTCCATTTATTGCCCTTAACGCGTACAAAGTATGATCTCAAAAGCCTCCCATAAAAAAGGCCCTCTCTCCCTTTCTTTTACTTTCCTAATTTCTTTTAATGAGGCACCACCTGCTTGTTGACTCATGAACTCTTTTTACCATTGAAATGAAGATAGAAAGGATACAAAATGTTTCACTTGCTGTTTCTTAGGGAATCTTCCCAGCTTCCCCAAGTCAAGCGTAATTTGTTCCCCACAGATGCCGTTCCCAGGACTGCAACCAGTGAGGACATTAAGGACACTTTCAGTCACAAAACACAGTGGAAAGCTGAGCAGAGATTTTCATGGACTCATGGAATTATCCTGAGTTGGGAGGGACCCACAAGGATCATCCAGCCCTGCCCAGGACACCCCAACAATCCCCCCTGTCCCTCAGAGCATTGTCCAAACGCTCCTGGAGCTCTGGCAGCCTTGGGGCCGTGCCCACTGCCCTGGGGAGCCTGGGCAGTGCCCACCACCCTCTGGGGGGAGAACCTTTCCCTGAGATCCACCCTGACCCTGCCCTGTCCCAGCTCCAGCCCTTCCCTGGGTCCTGTCCCTGCTCACACCGAGCAGGGATCGGAGCTGCCCCTCCCCTGCCCCTTGTGAGGAGCTGCAGAGCCCGATGAGCTCTGCCCTCAATCTCCTCTGCTCCAGCTGAACAAACCAAGTGACCTCAGCCACTCCTCCTATGGCTGTTTCATCAGTCATCTCCAGGAACACCGAGTTCACCTTCCCAAACTGCTGGGAGTAATCCAAGTTTTAAAGGACTTTTGTCCATTGTCAGTGTACACTGATCTGTGTGGCAGTGAAGTTACTGAGGTGAACAAGCAGAACTACGGGGATTTCAGTGTGTGTGTTCACATGTGAGTTTATCTGGCAGTCAGAGAGTTTATTTGCTCTTAATTCCACTATCCACACTTCCACAGGAATGCTTTGGTATCCTGGTTAGTGACTGTGACTCAAGGTTTACTCCTACAATGCCTCAACTCCTCAATCTCCGTATCCACTGAGCTCCCTTCTCAACAGTGGGAATGTCCATCTGTTGAAAACACGGAAGACCAAACAAAGCTGCCTTTTATATTCCCTGAAAACTGAGAAACTGGGGCTGCCCCATCCCTGGAAGTGTCCAAGGCCAGGTTGGATGGGGCTTGGAGCAACCTGGGATAGTGGAAGGGGGGGTTGGAACTGATGATCTTTAAGGTCCCTCCTAACCCAAACCAGTCTGTGATCCCACCACGCGTCCTCAGGGCTGGAGGCTCAGGAGCATCATTTAGGACACCGGTAACTCATCACCCAGAACTTCACTTCAAAGCCCGGCCTAACAAAGCTGCGGGAACCACCCGGCTACGGTGCTATGCTCCAGCACTTCCAGCACCGGCTTTTCCTCTCCCAAGGCCCGGAGCAGAACCAGACCCTGCCCGACAGAACCGGGGGTGCTTTAGGGGCACAGAGAACCTCCCCCGAATGGGCACCGCTCCCACCCCATTCACCCCACAGCTGGGGGGACCCCCATGACGCCCTGCCCAGCGGCCTCGGTCCCCCCTGCCGGCCCAGGGCCCGGTGCCCCCCACCCCCGGCGGGACATCACTCACGACGGAGGAGCAGGAGGGCAGGAGGATCTTGA